AGAAAGCAGCATTTCGCGATATTCGCAGTACTGGATTGTACGCAATCGTTTATTGAGAGCGTTTTATTTAGTTTTAAGTTATTTCCGTTAGTCCATTTGATATTAATTCTATAGCAGTCGGTGCAAGCAAAAATGTAAAAGAAACAAACTGAAAATGACATCATCTATTGCTGTAGTCATTCTGGGATTGATTGTTATCTTAAGAGATATCGAAAATCTCCCCCTAATCTGAGTGATTAGGATAATTCAGAACACCAATTACCTCCCGGTATAAACAGAACGATTCACTTCATTGTGCTTGACTTAAAAATGACCGCAAACACTGCCACTCTCCCAATCTTTTTCACGCAGGTTCGTAATCTGGCACATGAAAAATCCATGCACATCTGATCACGACAGTTCTCAAGCTGACTGGTTAGAGAAGGAATCGAGTGAGGTACTGCGTATCAAACAGACTGTAAGACATAAAGAGGGCTGGCATTTAGTTGAATGTATTAAAGCCAATAGACAATCTCTTAAGATATCTTGTGGAAGATTCGGGTACAGATTTCTTAAGCATGCACATCTTTCGCGCCTATCTGCAACGAAACATTGGACCCCACGTGCATAGCAAGTATTCGAACGAAACGTCCTTTCTCTGACAGGTTTGTCAGCAAGTGATGCATTCAGTTCCCTTACGAGGGTTTTAATTTATCGCATATGAGGTTCATAAAATATGCGGCCGCATCTTGGCCTGAACTCGTCATTTTACCTACACGAATAGTCGAAGCAAGCGCATTTATATACTTCAGTTACAATCATGCATAACTAACCATTGGCTTTCTCAACCCTTTACTGAATGAATGCCTCTCCGCAGCGCAGGCATGTATGACACAACAAATTAACTTGGTTGGATGGAAAGAAGACGGCTGATTATTTTGTGTTGAAATTAAATTATGCTTATTTCTACTTTGACCATCGGAAGAAAGTGCGACTGTCAGGATATTATCTCTCCTTGAAGGGTCGAAATTGACGTACTTCAATTTACTAATTTCGATGCAGTACTGTTGCATGTAAGTGACAAATTCCCAGAGACTCATCATGATAAAGTCCTAATAATCTCGAATCCTGATAGAATACTCCATATGATCGCGGTGCTACCCGGCATGATGGTACAGTCCCCATATTTCAACAGCCGGCCAATGACGGTGCCTAATATTCTGATGTTACAATTGCACTTTTTTATATTAAACCGTAAGTCTATAGTGCTGCTAATGGAAATTGCTAGTAGTCAATAACAATTCCATAAGCTATTGATACGACATTTGATTGGATATCTGAAATTAAACCTATGAACAAAACTAAATCATTTATTGTGAAAAGTGATGTTTACCTTTCAGAGGAAGGCTTCAGAGTAGCTAACCACAGGCTTTGAGTAGAAGTTTATGGACAGTTATTGAACTTAGATGCATATCCTCAATTTACTATTTGCATCATAAAAGTTATAAGTAGTCCGTACGCTGCAGTAAGTCAAATAACATATGATTGCTTCAAGACCGGATTTCACGGCGTATTGCATCGTTGCCATGCTCATAGTAGCCTAGAGAGGATGAGTATCTAAGCAGGTCACGGTTCCATTATATTTGACCACTTGCAGTGCTAGAGGCATCTCCTATAATTTTTTCAGCTAGATCCACTTCGGAAATCTTGTCGCGGAAAAGTCATGCGTACTCCGGCGGAGCAACAACTCATCGTGTATATGTTGTAGCATATAAGCAGTCCCAGTTCTTGAAGCATTGTTCGTAATGATTGTGAGGTAGCTTTAGTGAACAAAATTATTCGAAATCCATTTGGAACTACAGATGCGCAAATACCATGAAGCCGTGGTTTGCTTCAAAGGCCTATTCAACAACTAGTAGCAGTTGGGCGGCGCAATACGTCGTGAAATCTGGTCTTAGAGAAGTTGAGTATCATTTAATCTACTGTTTAATAAGTAGTTTAACATGGATTCAGGGATTGCATGAACGCTGCTAAATCTAGACTACCGATATATCTCACCGCAGCGAATCTTACCTGTGCAGGAAAACTGAGGTGATATTCGCCTGTTCAAGAAATTTGCCTTCACTGGTAAAGGATTTGCGACTTAGGTTCAATTTGTAGAAAAATTATGAGAAGATCTTTTCTAAAGAGACGCAAAAACGGCAGTCAAACAGAAAGAAAATGATTATTAGGCTTATGCATCTTTTCTTTTGCAAACTACCACATATTGAAGTTCTGAGGAAGAGGTTGTGACATTTATCCGTTTCTTTCTGAAAACCTTGCTAACAGATGACCCTTCCTGAGACATTCCTTCGATCACAGCGATGCGTGTTCTTTCTCTGTGGCAACTGTAAAGCTGTTTCTGAACTACAGATAGAAGGCTTATTTTACAGTTCACCTACTGGCTTGCCTCTGCTTCGATGGTCAGATTTGCCATCTCTTTAAGGCAGCTGAAAGACTGAAATACTTTCCCTTTTCGATATCCTGCAGGTCTCGAGTTTTCAATGGATCCATAGCGAATCATTTCCCAGTTTCTAAAATAACATGCGCGAAGAATTCGATTATCCAGAGGCCTTGAAAAAATTATTCGATTATCTGGAAGCTTCAGCTGCTTTATCCAAACGTTCGTAACAATCGTGGCATAACCCTATTGGTTGTTGTGAATGCGGTCTTAGTTGAAACAACAGTTTTATAGAACCAGTGTCCAATAGCGAAATTTTAACTAGCTGTAACAAAGGTCATTCAGGTACAGTTTGGCGATAGCGTAGTCTTTGGGCCGGATCAATTTTCTCTCGGCGGGAATGCAAATTGATTAACCATTACATAGGGCAGTTTAAACAATTCATAATATAAAAAGCACGGGAAAGCATCATTTAGACTTATTATGTAAGAGAAATTAATGGCAACGTACAGCTAATCCGCTAAACACTTTTAGTTGCTTCAGTTCAGTTCATTCTTCTTTCTGGCGTCAGCGGTAGTCTCTTGGCTCACACCATCGGCTACCTTCGACGACTGCCGTCGAATAACGCCGATAACAAAATGCGGGACCCTGCCGAGAAGGTTACTCAGCGTTTTTCACTTGACCGGGTGGTCTCAATGGCTGCGATTCCAAAGAAGGTAATTGCTCGGGCAACGCATGACCGTGATTCCTAACAATATTAGTTCTGCTAATAACTTGGCAACTGTTTGCTGACACCAACACCGACGACGGTATTCCGGCTGCACGTCGCCTGAGTCGAGTGGAGCGCTGCGAAACAATGAAATTTGGGGCAATCAATTTTGCCAGACAAGGTCTTAATTAATTTTCCGGTGGACGAATGTAACTGTTTGCGTTTGTTTAATCACTATTCATAGCTGATTTAATTCATCAAAATATGGTACGACTTAGATCGTGCATGTCATTGACTCCATTTGCCCTGCTGCAGAGGACATCGCCCGCACGACGTCTTGCCCGGTATGATTTGCTGATGAACATGTGAAATCTGCTGATATGCGGCAGCTGTACGCGCTGTTGGTCGTCGTCCTGTTCACGCTGTTATTTACCACCCATGTGAATCACGGTGAGTGTTCATGGTTACAGACATTCGGTCGTCTCATTCTTAGTGAACCTCGTGCGTAATCTTAACGTTAAACATATTTTTAAACGGATAAGCTCAAAGATCTTCGCTGTGGAAGCATGTCACAGAAAAGGATCTATTATCGAACGATTGTTGGCAGTGAGATAATGAAATTTTTTTATTGAAACGCGTTAAACCTAGACATAAATAAACTGTTTTTCAAGCATTATCAAAGTTTGCTGAGGACTTATCAGCTGGTCTCGTTCGCATATTTAAAATGAAAATCGAAAGGCGAGAATAACTGCAAGAAGCAGCAGTGCTGAGTCCACGCTAGGCAGAGAATATCTAAGTCCACTTGCTACTGAACTTCAAGTTGTAACAGAAAAAGGCATACTTTTTGCCGTAATGAATGGCGAAATTAAAAGTGGTGCAGGATATAGCCTCACTTCTCCCTTATCATATGACCTGATTTATCACTGCATCATTGTTACTTCACCCCTCTGTAAGGATTAATCTAGAAAGCAATAAGGAGGCGAGAAGGTTGCTGTGTAGTGTTTCACATGCTAATGAAACTATTTTGCTTAAAATTAAACGTTACTCAGCGTGATAAAGGCAGGACAGCGATCACGTACGATCGTCTTGTATCGCAAGGTAAGGCGGAGCATGGGATCCTTTATTGCTACGGAAATAACGATGGTTCAGAATGAAGTTCGAAAACGAATTAACGTACCGAAGTCTTTCAATGACTGAATGACAAGTTTGCTTAAGCAAGAATGCTCGTACTGTGCACAAGGAAGGACGGATATGTCGGAAGATTACTCGCACTCATAGAGGGCGTAACGAGTCTTAAATCATGCAGTAAATTCTCAAGACTAAAAATAAACTTTCTGAAATTGGAAAGAGAAAGCCGATTTTGGTCCAAGTCAAGGCCACTAGGGAAATAACTTGAGGACTGCAGCAAAATGATTTGCTCATTGAGTTTGTGCGCTGAAGATGTGAATTCAAAGCTGCAGATCCGGTGACGTATTTACTCATTTACTACGTCGACTCTCAAGATAGAGTAGTTTAAATGTTGGTTACTATTTCATAAGCGAAACAAAACTGAGTTTATTACGAACATGTGATATGGTACGAGGTGCATTTTTTACTGCAGGTGCTTAAATACGTGGAGCCATAGAACCTGCTAAAACGGCTCCACCAGGTAAGTATAAACAAGGAGCAGCTTACCCTATAATGTTTGATTTTGAAAGAGTTATGCCTCATCTAGCATGTGATATGAAAGGTTCATGTGACTGATAAACTTCTAACTGATATTTCATTCTGTACCTAATAGATTTTGTTAATGACGAAATGAGCTTTGTTGTTTTAAAAGGTTCTGAATCGCAGCTTTTGTAAGCTTTTGGTGAGGAAAGCAGCATTCATGTCAGGTGCATCTACAACTGTCATATTTGATTAACACTGGTTTATCAGCAAGAAGACCTGCGAGACACAAAATAGCTGAAACTTTCGCTGTAGCTTTAGCAGTTCACTAAGCCTCATGCATTAGGAAAGTCTTACACGGAAGCCACCTATACAGAATTTTTTATCTACGTCTTCTCCAACGTTTCAGATCATGCTCGATCAGTCTTCGGAGAGATCATATAAAACCTCCACTGTTGTACCAAAATTTAACACAAGTGACTTGTTTTGTATTTTCAGTAATTCCCCCTAAACAATGTATAATTTTCTTTTTTGTAATCTCACACGCCGTAGAGAAACAGTGGTAAGATAATGTTCTGAGTAACATTTGACTGCATATTACCGTAGTTGGCTCATGTCAGAGCTTATAGATTTCGATCAAGCTGATAAGTACATTTCCCTTTAATGGTTGCAATGTTGCTTGATTTACATATTAGTGAGCTGCTTCGTTTACGGTCAAAATAAAGGGAGTCAAATGACCAGTGTCTGTTTCCGTCTAGAGGGATGATGGTATGGTGCAACTTTTGTGAAGCGCCACTCTGTCGAATTGCCCTGATTTTAACTCTTGAAATAACGAAGAATATTATTTCCTCATCTTCTCTGATAATGTATGAAGCAATGTCCGTTTCTTTGGTCCGTTTTTCCAATGAGTCGTCAACCTCCCTTCAAACGATAAACAGCATTGACCAAACATTTTATGGTACTTTCTTCAGGAACTGATATGAATGATGCACCCAAGACCTTCCTTCCGGGTTTTTAGTCCAAGTGACCTTTAAAATGAATCTGCGTCAACAGTACAAGTTCTTCTACCCCCAGTACCACTACAAGCCACATTAGTCAATCGTTTTGCAATTTATGACAGAATTTTTCTGCTGCCTCTACAACTTACAGTCAATATTAAATTGCAATCTCCTAGT